ATGAAACACAGCTTACAAGTAGCTTTGGTTGTATATGGCCAGAAATATAAATGTTCCTTTTGGAAACAAGATAACCCCAACAAATGTGACATTACAAAATGAAGACTTAAAGGAATTGGCTGTAACTGGCTTGGTCATGTGACTTGGTACAGGCCTCTGTTATGGCCTCTGCTTGAAGAGGGTGATTTTGGAATCCAGGGTAGGCTTCCCAAAGGGACATCTCTTCCCTGATCCTCCCTGCTTCCTGAGGATAAATCCAGAATCACCTAGCAAATGATCCCTCCCATTCCCTACTCTCACCTGGGAATGCTATGCTCATGTTTATTTTGTCTCAAGAAGTCTAGATGCGGGCAATCTAGGGGTTACGTAGTGCTCACTGATATTTTCTATCTTTCTTCCCTGTCATCATTAATTTGTTGGAAAATGGATGCTGTGACTTCTAATATATTTTTATTCAAGGCACTAAGAAATGGAGTTGAGTTGGCAATACAACAGCTGTATTAGTTCCCAATTTCAGCAAAAGCAATCAGTATGGAGATTGCTCAAAGAACTAAAAATAGAAATTTCATTCCCCTCAACTATTCTTCTTCTAGGTATCTTCCTGAAAGAGTTACAAACATCATGCTATTACAGAGATCCATGCATCACCATGTTTATAGCAGCACAATTCATAGTAGCAAAATCTTGGAAGCAGCTGATATGTCCATCAAGGATGAATGGATAAACAACATGTGCTCTTTACACACAATGGAGCACCACTCTCCTATAAAGGAAGATAAATTTGAGTTATTTGTATGAAAATGGATGCATCCTGAGACCATAATATTAAATGCAATAAACAAGACACACAAGCTTAAATAATGCAGAATGCATGGTTTCTCTTCTATGAGAAACCCACCCTATAAATAAATAAGAGCAAAATAAAAGATGATAGGAAACAGGGAGATCTTTTGCAGATAGAAAGGAGACCAAGAAGCTGGGCATGGTGGCCCATGCCTGTAATCCCAGCACTGGGGAGGCTGAGGCAGGAGGATCAGCAATGCAAATAGACCCTGAATATGCCTGCTGGGTTCCCCATTAAACAGTATTTGCCACAACCAAATGGAAGGAGAGTGTGGAGATTCAATTTGGAAAGCAAAGGCAATCACATCTAGCAGTAGAGGATGAGGAAACATATTCTAGAGCCCACTGTGTGCTGGATTTGGATTCAGGCAGTGTACCTGGATACATGCATGCCACAGTTCCCTCCATTGTGCAGTTGAGAAAACTAAGCTCTTAGCAACATTCCCCATGGAGCTAAGTTAGAAACCTTGATTTGAATCCAGATGTGCCTCATTTGAAAGCCTATTCCTTCTCTTTCTGTCGACCTGTGTTGTTCCAGGAAGTTGAGGCTATTTTGTTTTGTGAAATTGGGGTGACCTCAGTGAATCTGAGCACCTTCATTGCATTGCAAGTGCCTTCAGTCACCTGGAGACAAAGTAGGAATCCCAAACCACTGTTTAATGGGCTCCTGATATAAAATAAAGGTGAATATGGTACTCAAGTGCTTATGTTGTGGTAGTAATTCTGGGAAAACTGACTCAGGAGTCAGGAGACCAGGTCTGTTTAAAACCTGGTACTTAGTTGCTCTATGATCTTGGGAGACTCACTATTCCTCATCTGTGAAATAAAAGGCTGGACTACACCTACAAGAATCCTCTCAGCCCCTGAACACATTTTGGTTCTTTCTCTCATGTATCTTTTAATTTGTTTATCTTTCATTCAACAAGATTTTATAGAGGACCAGCTACATGCCAGGCACTGTTCTAGGTAATTGGAATATATCAATCAACAAAATAAAAATCTCTGCTATACGGGGTTTATGTTCGTGTGTGTGTGTGTGTGTGTGTGTGTGTGTGTGTGTGTGTGTGTGTATTGGAGGCAAAGTATGAAAGCAATAAACATCAAACAGGAAGAAAAGGGCTAAAGGTGTAGGAGAAGTGGGAAGGGCAGGGAATGAAATAAGAGACAAGAAAAAATATGAGAAAAGAAGAAAATGGAAATAAAGTCTTTGTAAATAGCAGAGGGTGGAGAGGGTGGAGGGAGGGCAGGGGTATGGGGAAAAAATGAGAACCAAGATCTGTCATGTAAAGGTACAAGATCCTAATAATTATAACTGTACTATATACTTAAGAAGTGCCAATAAACTCAATAATGACAAAAAGATTAAAATACATAATAAATAAATAAGAAACATAATAAATGAATGATAAGCAATTATAACATGTCAGAAGGTGAATGTGGGAAGGGAGTAGGAGAGTGAGTGCTGGGAAGGCTCCAGTGATCTTCACCGAGAGCACAGGATTTTAACAATGACTACAGAGGGAAGACAGCCCACGTGCACGTCCCTGGGGAGGTAGTTTGAACAGTGACCCGAAGCAGAAGTGTACCGAAACTTCTGAGCATCTTCTTCCCCATCTAAGGCCTTGCCTGAAGCCCTTCTCATCCCAGCTCCCTTGTGGGTGGTCAAGCCAGCTCAGAGCTTTCTGAACTGGACAGCCATCTAAATTTTTCCCTGCTGTGACCATTCAAGGAACAGAGCCTGGCCTCTGCCTTTATGCTTGCACCTCATTGCATACTCCAGGAATACTCAAGATCCTAGGGTTATGGGGAATGTGCTGGCAGAGGTACCAAGGCTTGACGGTACTAGAATCGAATCAAAATAGCACAGGTCGTGTAAAGGTACAAGACCCCATGATGAATATAACTGCACTGAATACCTAAAATGTACCAATAAACTCAATGAGGAAAAAAATAGCACAGGGACCTTTTGGGCTGACTCTCCATTTCCAGGCTATTCTCACTACTTCCTTGCCCAACGAGCAACTCAGTGTTGTCATTGTTCCGAAACACTGGCCTCTATCAGCCATGAAACCTCAGGTACAAGAGAGCTGTATTTTCATTTTTACTTCTGGGCCAACCTGTAACAGGTGAGCCAAGCCTTCCTCATTAGCTCCGGCAATGATCTCACAGAGCTGGGCCATAGCCTGTGGGAAACAAGTCTTTTGCTAGGCTGTGCATGCACAGAGGGCATATGTGTCCTATGAAAGCTCTGAATGCCTTGCAAAATATAATGAAGAGAATGGACAGGAGTTGATTTCTTGATCTATGCTGTAAGTGGAGGAATTACTTGGAATATAAAGACAGTGGTATTGTAAAGGTGCTCAAACTGAGAATCCTAGAGTGAGGCTATCACCTACTGTTAGGTACCTTAGATTTTAGGAAAGAGGCTGGAAATCCCCCTAGAAAGCCCTTTCACACTCTATGAGCCTCTGTTTAAATTCCGAACCGGCCTGGGTGCCACTCACTGCATGATGAGCAATTTCATTTCAGGGAATGACTCAGCGTGAATTTCATAGTCCTCTTCCAGTTACATCTTTTTTCATGTGCCCTTGGCATTTGTTTGATAGAAATAGCAAGGAAACTTAACTTTGATCTCCCTAATCCGAGTGAGGTTACAGGTGAGAGTTCTGAATACTGTACGAAATACATGAGGCATTTAAAATGCAAGGCAGCTGAGAGTCTATGTGAGGATGTGGGCCATTGAATCAAATTTCGTATTAGGTTTTCTTAAGCATCTGCTGGGAAGCAGGAGCAGCAAGTGCCATGTAAAAGGACTCATCTTCTTGAGGTTTCTAAACTTGATTTTCCCCGTCTCTTCATTTGACGTCTTTCTTGCAATATTCAGTGACCACTGAGCCATAAACACAGAATATGGCAGGAACATACTGTGAGAGATGGAGATTGCTCTGTAAGAGGGAAAACACTGGCCTACTGAATTCTAACTAATTCCACTAATTCCGCTAAATTCTAACTAATTCTGCTAAATTCCAGAGCCTAGTCAATCTCAGTAAGAAAGAATATAGGGATAAAAAGAGTCGCTATTTTACATCATAGTTTACTTACCAGACAGAAGCTATTTGTTCATCCATTTACAGATACATAGCACACCTCCAACTGTGCCCAACTCTTTTCTAGGCACTGGCAGTACACCAGTAAGCACCATCATCAAACATCTTCCATCTTTATCTCACTACATTAAGTGACATGAAAGTGCTGAATTTTTAAGTTAAAAACTATTTTATATAATTAACAGCTACCATATGATCTAGCTCTTGCACTCCTGAGTATTTACCCAAAAGAAGTAAGTAATAAAAGCATTCATCCAAAGAATGCTCATACACCAGCATTTGCAACAGCTTCATGTGTAATAGCTCAAACTGGAAATAATCCAAATGTATATCAACAAGAGTATGCATAATCAAACTGTGATATGTCCACACAACAGCATACTGCTTATCCATAAAAACTGTACTGATGCATCCTACAAGCATTGACTTGGAAAACATTATGCTCAGTGAAACAAGCTGGATGGAAAAGGCCATATATTGTATGATTCCTTTTATATGAAGATATGGAAGGTTCCAACTAATCTGTAGTGACTCAAAGCAAATCGGTGTTTCTGTAGGGACAGGGGAGTGGGGCTAGAGACAAGAATTAGGGAAGGACTAAATGGTGCAAGTGGGATCTTTGGGGGGACAATGGATGTATCACGTGTCATACATCTATCATATTTTATCAAATGGTACACTTGAGAGATACACTTGTGTGACTTATTAAGTGAAAACTACAGCTCAATACAGGTGCTAAAATAAAGCCACAGCTTAATAGCATTTCTTAATGTTCAGTTGAAAAGTTTCCGTGATGAATTAATTTTAAAACTTTATGTTCATTTTTCATACATTTATTGAAAATTTTCCATATGTTAGGCACCATGAAAGATATTGTCAATGAAAAGTGAATGAGGTTATTTTTGCTTTGAGGCTCAGTGGAAGAAATCAGCTTGTAAACGGACACTGAATGACTTTGCCACAGGCAGTTCTGGAGCAATTACCAGTGTAACCAAGTTTCCCTTTGTTCACTGAATTTATGCATGTGTCTGTGCCTTCCTTGTTTTTCAGAGTGACTTGTGGTCTTTGGGAATCACCGCCATAGAAATGGCAGAAGGTGCTCCCCGTAAGTACCTTCCTCTGGGGTGATATCTGTTGCTGGTTGCTCTGCGGGTGCAAAGGTTCCTTGCCAGGAGCTGCAGTTGCTTTACTTCTGCTACACTGAGCCCTGCGTGGATTTGAGCTGGCATATTTAGAAAGCAGAGTTATTTTAAATCATCCAGGAATTGGTTCATTGTAGAGCTGAGTGAGGATTTTGTTTTTATGAGGATAAAAAAGAAGTAAAAAGCAAACTTTGGGAAGCCTTGTTTGTCTTACAGATTTAGGGCATAGTTTACTCTTGAACTCTCTGCCTAACATAAAACTAAGAGCAACCCACAAAGACTATAAACTCCATCATACAAAAACACAAAGCTAACTTTCAATGCAGGGGTTATACAAACACTTGTGCTCAATTGCTGTCACTCTTCTTAAAATAGTGGTATTTAGAATTTCAGATTTTCTGGCTCTTATTTAGCGGAATGGCCACAAGTCTGGCCATTCTGAGGATCTCCCAGGCTCCTTGAGGTCTGGCATGGTGGCACTCTACTGGCAGAGCATCTGTGTCGGCCGTGTGGTAGCTCAGAGACTGTTCCTCACTCTGCCTGTGCAGGAAGGAGGTAGCGACAAGACGCACAGCTGCTGCCACAGCCCTGAGAGTGCCTCTCCCAAGAGCCATTGTCACTGACCAAGTGTAGTAAGGATACAAGACGAAACCTTTCTTGGGAGACTTAATTTGTAGCTGTGGTGCCTCGGGCAACTCTGTGTGACTGCTGAGCCTATCTTGGACTACAGGACCATCTGGGACACTGGGTAAAGGGTGGGACTTACATAGCAGACTGATGACTTTCCCCATCCTCCTTGGGTCCTTTCCTATTTTTTCTTCACACTGGAGTCATCCCCCAGTGTTATCTTTATATGTTTAATACCACCTCGCTGTCTGTTTCTCAAATGAGAAAAACAAAGCAATCCCTACCTCTGAATGACAGGTCATTGTGCTTATGACTTTTTACCTTCAATTTGTCACAGTCTTCTTATTTCCCAGTCTAGAATGAGTTCAATGTACGTGGAGCATGATTGATACAGGATGTGTTGACATCTCCCATTCGCAATGCTAGTAGACATTTATGAATCAGGAAAGTACTATATTGTAGTTTTAAAGCTATATTGTCATTCCTGATGAGTGGTACAAGGGGCTAAAAATAAACTTCTTCCCACAGTATCCTTTAGCTTTTAGTTAGCATATATTCTTATTTTAGGTACAAAGAGAAAACTACCCCCAGCTGTTTAAAAAGTAAGCTAATAAAATATTTTAACTGAAATGAGAATGTATGAGTGCTTTCACTGTAAACAATAAGAGCATGTTTACCAGTTGAGATATTTTTATAACTTTGTTTTTCTGACGGACTCTGTTTAACTTAATCCTCTGGTCTTCCTGGGGCCAGTGTGTTTAAAAACAAAACAAAACACAGCAAAATTCATCACGAAATCTGAAAAGCCATTGCAGGGTATCTTGAAACAGAATGGTATTCTAGGATAGTGCTTTGGACTTCAGAAACTTATGTAGATAATACAGCATTTGGATGAGCCTTCAGTGTATAATAAATAGGTTTTGGGTTATCCAATACCTTTTATTTTATGGTTTAGGATTTTGCTTACTAAAAGTAATAAAACCATCTCCATTGTAGTTGCCATCTGACCTTGTTTACTTTGAAGATCAGGTGGTTGTTTACAGCAAAAATGGCTAGTGTTGACGTTTTAGCTTAGGTTCCTTAAAAACAAAGTAAAAGCTCTTTGAGGTGTCTCCATATTGATTTCCACAGTGGTTGTACCAGTCTGCACTCCCACCAACAATGGAATCATACCACATTGATATATATGCACCCATGTTTATAGAGGCACAGTTTGTAATAGCTAAAACTTGGAAATAGCCCAAATGCCCATCAGTTGGAGACTGGATAAAGATGTGGTTTTTCTATAAAATGGAATACTACTCAGACATAAACAATAAGAAACTAGAGTCATTCATAGGAAAATGGATGCATATTGAGGCTATACTCTGAAGTGAAGTAAATAAGATGCACATATTTCTCTGGTGTGAAAAACTAAAACTGTAAATAGTATAACTATAAAAATTGTATAAGTGATAATGTGAAATATGAAGAAAAAGGCTAAAGGTGTAGGGGAAGTGGAAGAATAGGGGAAAGGAAATAAGGGACAAAAAATGTGAGAAAAAGAAAAAAATGGAAATAAAGTCTTTGTAAATAGGGGAAGGTGGAGGGGGTGAAGGGAGGGAAGGATGGGGAAAAAATGAGAACCAAGACCTGTCATGTAAAGGTACAAGATCCCAATGATGAATGTAAATGTACTGCATACTTAAAAAGTACCAATAAACTCAATAAGATTAAAAAATAATAAAAAAGAAAGTAAAAGCATATTCCCTACAAATGTTAAAAATAGCTATTCCAATGGTGTAGTAGTATATGTGATTCCTTTAATCAACCATCAGCTCTTTTAAATGCTTGCCAAATGGTAGCTTTTGAATCTTCTGACCCTGTGCTCACTAGTCTCACTTGGACTCAGGAGTCATTTGGCAACCTTATCTGCACAGCCAGGACGGAGTTGGCATGGGTTTGGCCTCCTAACTGGAGCTGGCCCTTGTTTTGGTCTCTTGCAGCTCTCTGTGACATGCACCCTATGAGAGCCCTCTTCCTCATCCCCCGGAACCCCGCGCCTCGGCTGAAGTCTAAGAAGTGGTGAGTTCGGTCTTCAGAGTTTTATAGATCTAAGTGTGAAGTTTTCCTGTGATTCTCTTTTGAATTCGTTCAGATCCCTGGATCCTGCTGACTGGATTAAACTAACATATACTGCAGCTTGGCAGATGACTTTCCATAAGCTGTCATTCATATTAGAATGGTAGCTTCATTACCTACTATTTGTACAGCGGTTTTTAGCCCCACATCTTCAAGGTAAGGAGCTATTAGCAAAAACGAGTAGTGGAAGTCAAATTAATGACATGGAAGCTTTTTGACTTATAATTTGAAATGTGTCTTTCTGGGCAGCACAAAACATCTCAGCAGAGAGGGAGAGGCAGAGTCAGCCTATGGGATTGGCTGACTTCTGTTCCTGAAGACAGTGATTCTCGAGGGCATAGACATTCCCGGTAGTATTCAGGATGATTTCTCTGGCATTGCACTAGCATTGGTAGCTCTTTTTGTTTTTACTATTGCTTTCTTTTTATGGCAGGTGATACTGGCTTCTTTTGGGGGCAGCAATGTCACCCCTTCTTTTAATAAGCTTACGTTGTGTAAAGGTGACTTACCAAGAAAAGTACAGAAACACTTATGAATGGTGTGAGAGTGTGCCAGAAATTTTGTGGATAGTGTATGATTGACTGACATTTGGGAAGCTGTTTCATAGGTTACGCCAGATGTTGGACTTTTCTCTCATATGTCCTTATATCTGGACCTTTGTATCTTATCGTTCTATAACAAAAATGTTTTACTTCCTTCCTTCCCCTTACAGTTGTGGTGTGCCCACCCTGACACATTCTTGATTCTCTGACTTCTCTTATACTAGGGCTGATTTCTGCCCACAGGTGACCTCCTATCCTTTCCTAGAGAAAAGTTCTTGGCAGGTAGACCAGGAAGGGGCAAGCCTTATGTGCCTTTTTACACCACTTCATGATGAAGCCCTTGATGGGAGCCCTCCTTTTCCCCACCCACAGTTCCCCCCCACCAACATCACCACACAGAGCAGTCTTAATTAATACAGTTGTCTGGTAATGACATAGCAACCCTGGCAGAACAAGGGAAAAGCACATTGCACAGAGAGGGAAGGAGATGCCAGAAAAGAGAAGACAGCTTGTGGGGGGGGGTTGCTATTGGTAACAGGGAGGCGGAGTCTCTCCTGCTCTCCTTCCCAAAGGGTCACTGTGATAGGAGACTATTCTCTCCTCAGCAACAGCCTCCCATTGGGTGCTGTTCAACATGTGATCACTGAGCAAGGAGGCCCCATTCTTCTCTCCTCCCTGGATCGGACTCCTGGGGAGAGGAGCCAGCTTACTTCCCTTCCCTAGAAGGATCAGTAACACTACAAAGTCCTCTGCCTGCTAGGTTTCTACTTATGCCAAAGCCCCTCAGTAAAGCCTGCTTTATGTAGTGGCCTTTACTCTTTGTCCCCTGTCCTGCCTGTTCTTCCCCTCCCTTTATAACTCAAGGGCAGATACTTTGAGCTTATCCACAGAGAATAACAAACTGGGCATCCACAGATGTGCTTTATTTTAACTGGTACAGTGAGGCCATACTCTATTCTTACAACATTCGTATTAGTTGCCAATATTTAAAAATTTGGCGATTGAGCTACTCGTCTAGATTTCTGCAAAAGTGCACAATACTGCCCAGCTGGGTAGCTTCTGCTCCCTTTGTGGATAACAGATAGACCTACTCCAGCGGCCACCTCTCCCCTCTCCGATACCCACGTCAGTTGGCCGTCACACTTGTCCTGGCCACATCTGCACCGTGGTCTGCACTGGCCCTTTGAATGCCCTGCGCTGGTGTCATTCTTCACCGACCCTGCCCCCCAAAGACCAGCTCTCCTGACCTTGCTGGAGAGGGGCTCACAGTGGGGAAATGTAAGCTTACTTTTCTGCTTCCGATCTTTGACAAAGAGAACTAATTTTTGATGATGCTGGAAGAAGCTGAAGAGTGGGGAAGCCCAGCCTGCTTCATCTCGTGCTGCTGTGCACGCTCTTCCTGACTGGCCAGGAAAGTTAGCTGGGACTGTGAGTCCAGGCAGCCATGCAGCTGGACAGGGAAAGCAAAAGCGAATTATCATTTTGAGCACAAGTGGAGGACAGACAGCCTGACAGTGCACAGTTTCTCACCAAGACCCCAGCCTCCATCCTGTGCTTGACCGTGCAGCCTCCAGCCACGCATTTGATGCTTGACCTGACTCCCATTTCTTTGCAGCAGAATTTCAGTTTTTAAATGAAAATATTTAAGCATGTCAGGATACTTTATCTTAAAGATTATGTGCAAAGTGATTCAAAATAGGCTGGGGATTGCTTTAATAGGCTCCAGCGTTTGGGAGGAAATGAAAGGTCACATTTATTTTTTTTTTTTCTTTTAAATGTTTAAAGGAGATGAACCCCCACCCTAAACAAAAGAAACCGAACTCTGGAATGTTCAATTATTCCCAGATGTTCTCCACCTAAATGAATGGTCAGGTCAAGCACTCTGTTTTCAAATCAGCACAGGACCAAAGGCGGGTGCTGTGGTAGTGGAGATGAGTCCCTGAACTCTTCAGAGTGAGCTGTCAGCCGAGGGTCGTTTGAGCTGGCATTGCTGAGCAAACACACGGCGAGTATTAGTCATCTTTCCTGCCGCTGGATCGTAATACCTGACACTGCCATTTAAAGGAGGAAGGGTTTCATTTGGGGTTTATGGGATTCGGTGTATGGTCGGTGGGCTTCCAAGGCAGGAACATCATGGCCGAAGGAAACGAAGCAGCAGTTGCACTTATTTTATGGTGGCTACAAGGAGAGCCGAGGAACCGTGCCAGAGAGGAAGGAGTCAGGGACTAGACACGGGACCCAAAATCATTCCACTATGACGAACTCAGGCACACCACAAGTGTGCTTTACTGATCCCGTAGGCCTCTCTTAATCCAATCAAGTAGACAAAGCATAACTAGCGCTCACAAAGCTTATAGTCTCTTCGAAAAAATTTTGCCCTTGTGCCTTGTTTAAATTTCAGGAAAGAGAGGCAACAGCACTGCTTTTTCTCCTCAGCCCTTGTGGGAGAAGAAGCTGCTATCAGCAGATATTTTCACTGAAATATTTTCATTCCTCAGAGTGATGAGTAGGGGCTGAGCACCAAGGGAAAGGTGCAGTTCAGGTGTCACTGAACACTCACTCAGGCAGCTCCACCACGTCAGGAGAGGTCTCTGGCAGGAGAGTCACTGTAGTTGAGTCAGAGAAAACTAAGGATGTTCTCACTCCCTGTCTCCTTGTCACCACCAGCAAGGGCATGGGAAGGCTGGGATCTGTGTCCTCCTCCTGGCTTCTGTGCATGGGTCCATGCGACCTTCGGGGGGACTTCATGTCCTTCTGAAGGTTTCCCACCTTGTTTATCCATGCTCCTGCCCGTGAAAGTAAGCTTGCTGCCAGAGCTTCTGCCTGGGTCTTCTGGAGGACAGAATGATGCTGTTAGTCTTGTTTTTCCTGTGCCCTTTAAATTTGAAGGGTCCACAAAGCAAAGCAGAAGTCAGTTGAAACCGTTCAAATAAACATAGCTTCTTGTTATCCTCTGGTTCAAACCACTCAAGCATGTTCCAGTTGCAGATGTGACATTTCTGGAAGTCGAGAGGTGCCACCAGGCAAAGTCCTGGGCTCCTCACAGGAAGAGTAGCCTGGAGCTCTGGCCTTCTGCTTTTACCCCAGAGCTTACAGTCCTCCCTGTTATTTACATAGCTCCAGTTTTTATTTTTGCTGGGTTGTCATGATCTTTTGTCTTGATATATTGACAAGGCTGTTATTTGTGTGTATGTTGTGTGTGCATGTTCTAAAGAAAATAATGACAATACAGAGCAAATGTCATGTAATACTTCAAGTACACTGAACTTGCTGATTATAGTACAATTATGAACTTCATAAAAATTAAAACAAAAAAAACCCTGCCACACAAACTCTTAAAAGAGCCTTTTTGTGTAGTCTCCTTGGAGGTAACAGCCATGTTGACTTTCCTGGTAAACTGTCTGACTCTATTTTATGTAAAAGAATTCCCTTAAAGACTGCCCTACCTTCATGCACTACACAATGGCTTTTTGCTCAACAATAGGCCACTTACACGGCAGTGATTCTGATTCCATAAGCTTGAATATCGTACTGATGTCACAGCTATCTTAGTGTGTGTATGTACGATGTATGACACTTGCACAATTAATCACCTGACAGCATAGTTCTCGGAATGCATTCCTGTCGATAATCAGAGCATAACTGTGCTCCTGTAACTCACAGAAGTGGGGGGAAGAAAACAACTTCAAAGTTCTGCTTCTTGGTCCTAAAAGCAGATGCTCTGTTCCTCAAGCCTGGTGTTGATTAAAGGATACTGGGATGGTGTCATTATAGGAATAGTAATAACAGTAATGATAGAAGAAATACACATATGGCATGTATACTGCAAGGCACTGTTCTAAGTATTTCACATGAAAAAACTAATTTAATCATCATATCGTGAGATAGGTACTTACTTGATGCCTTTCTGTAACTAGGAAAAGAGGAACAGAGGATTTAGTATCTTGCCAAAATCCACACAGTTGGTAAATGATGGAGTCCAAAGTAGATAAACATGGTGGTTCTGGGAAATAGGGTGGGGCCACTGCAAGTTTTAAAGTTTAAATTGCATATAGGGAGTCTGGTGATTACCAAAAATATTTATTCCGATTTATTTAAAATGGTTAATGTCACCCTCATTCAAGCCTTCTGAATTTCTAACATAATTTAATTATAAACAGGATAAACCTGGGAAGATAAAGTGCTTAGTGACACTGGTGGTACAACTTGCTCCAATATCTCTCCATGCCAACCCTTGGGAAATTAGTATTACCAACCTTAGATTTCTTGGGTTTTTTTTAAAGAGGCAGAACTAAATTACTAGCAACAATAAAGTTATAAAAATGTACTTCAAATTCATTAAACTCTTAGAAAACAGGTACTATTCAACATAGGTAAAATGTTTTCACTTTTAATTAAGTGTGCAATTGAGCATATTGATTCTCTGGTCACACTCAAATGAGAGACAATGAATCCTTCTTTGAAGATGTGTTTTAGGTAAGCATTATTTCCCTGTAATGATGCCATTTGAAGAAGACCTGAAGTAGTAGTAGTAGCTTTGTAGTTCCGCCTATCTTGGAACATTCTTCAGGACTAACAGGATTCCTTTTTCTCTTGGGCCCCACCTCATGAAGGGACTGTGGGAGCTCTCTCTGTTAAACCCCTTGGACACCGTTCCATCTTGAAGACCAGAGATTTCTCTGGCTTTTTTTAAATGTCAGTGTTGAGGAATGGAACGTACAGTCTATTAAGTCTGGACCTCATTTTTAAAATTAGATGTGAGTTCTTTTATTTATCACTCTCTAATTAATAGTGGAGCACTTCATAAAAAAAAAAAAAAAAACAAGCTCTTCCTTCTAGTTGCCAGAAAGAGACCTACCATTTGTATTCCTTAAGAATATTTAACTGCTTTCTGTCTTAATTTGTTTTTGTTTTCATCTTTTGCATACTGTTTTTCCTACCTAGAAAAGCCCTGTGACTATTTCTTTATGCAAGTTAACCTCATTCTCTTTGTTTACTCCTTAGGAGAGTCCGTTACTTCATTGTTTTTCTTGCAAGGTCTCTCTTTAGATGATATGGTGTTTATGCCTGCATAGATTTATTCCATTAATCTGAGAAAGAAAATTGAATCTGTCCTCCAGACCTCCCTTTCTGTCACTCACAAACAAACACGGGTTTGAAGGTAGCTTGTGACAGCCCTTGCCCAGCACTTTCATCAGTGTGTGCATTCATTCATCAAACATGCAGAGTAGGTACCATGTTCATGATACAAAGGTGACTCGGGCGCAACCTGCCACAGCCAAGAACTTCCGGTGTAGACCAAGCCAAGATAGAGGCTGAAGGACTCATGGGCAGGGCCAGAGAGCCCATCTTGTTGTCACTCTTTCTAGTGTGACCAATCCTGTTCCATCCTTGAGCCCGCGCACACTGCAAAACTTTTACTTCTCTGCAAAATATGTTAAAGGCTTAAACACACCTTAGATACTTAAAAAAAAAACACTCATAGTTTAGTACTTTAGAAACATGAAATAAAGTGAGAAACTGCTCCCCAGGCAGAAAGAGAGAGTAGCACTTACATGATTAACCTTTCATATGAGGGTTTGCAGTGTGCTCTGTGTAGAGAGGACTCCTCAGGCCTGAAATACGCTGGGAAACTTGAGAAAGCCTTCCTTTGGGTTACACAGCCCACCACAGGAGGGCAGTAAAGAGCTCCAAAGAGCAAGAGCTCCCTCCTGCTCTGGGAATAGCGGGCAGGGTGCAGGTGCAGAGTTCCACCAAAGCCTCCCTGGATGAGGTGCGGAGCTGTCAGTGGAGAAACTTGGAAAGATAGCATCTTGAGCTTAATTATTTATGACTGTATAATTTCCTGGAACTTTGAGCAAGAACACAGATGCCCAGCTCATGAATCATTGCCAAAGTCCACCGTTAATTCTACTACATGCGGACTTGGTGCCCTCATTCGGTGTGGTGTATCTCTCCAGCATGCATCTCTGGCACCAGCTTTATCTTGGAGGAAATAGGCCCTTTGCAGAGGGAGATAAGTGTGCTTCTGGGTGTGACTTAGTTTTTAAAGTTAAATTTCCAAGTCCTTGACTGATGACAAAAATACACACATCGTCTTCTTAAGAATAAGAAAGTAGAGGGGCCGGGGATTTAGCTCATCGGTTCGGTGGCCTGCCTCGCAAGCGCAAAGACCCAAAAGAATAAGAAAGTAGAGAGTTCAAAAGAGATTTTGAAAGTACTGGTTTAATAATTTGTCTAAATCAACATTCACTTTACTATCTAAGAAATTTGCTCATTTCTCCAAACTGCACTCCCCATTGTCCCTCGCACTTCGGCTTTACTTTTGTCTCACTTGTGTTTTCTGCCTCATTTAGGCAGATTGATGTCCCCTGGACTATATAATATGCTCACTTATAGCTTTTGTTTTCAATGATTTCTACCAGCCTGAACTATCTTTCCCCTGGAGTGATTTTCTCCTAGTTCTTCTAGGTCCATCTCTGTTTTCCTCATTCCGGATATGAGTCCACAGTTTTCTTCTCTGAGCCCTTTTGTATTCTATGTGAAGTTATGTATACACTATGTGAAAATGTTTTCATAGGTATAGCTACCATATGCTACCTTATTTCTGAGTCAATGTTGACAATGCCCTTGACCTCCACTGTATCTAATATAGCAGTAGACCTATTTCGTGATTGGTTGATCTCTATAATGACCTATGGGAGCTCTTTTGTTTGTTTAGTTCAATATATGTATATACTATATTAAATATATATTAGATTGTTGGTTTATCTGTACATTCGTGTTGTTTGTTTCACAGGTCAAAAAAATTCCAGTCATTTATTGAGAGCTGCTTGGTAAAGAATCACAGCCAGCGACCAGCAACAGAGCAACTAATGAAGCATCCATTTATACGAGACCAACCAAATGAGCGCCAGGTCCGCATTCAACTCAAGGACCATATTGATAGAACAAAGAAGAAAAGAGGAGAAAAAGGTTAGATGCATATTTTTATTGCAGTGGGAGAAACAACACATGGAATGATCATTCATGGCTCTTGATGTATTTATTCCAAGGTGATTATGGAGGTTTCAAATGGATCTACATTATTCTTTAGTGTGAAGGCTGCCTGTGAGATCACAGCCTTTGGGTGTCAGTGAAGTGAAATTCCACTGCTTGAAATGAAATCTTTCATGAAAAAACATAACTGCAAAAACAAAGAAATTACCTCTTCCATCACTAAACAAAGTCATATTGCTTGAAACTATGAAGCATTTTAACATCACAAGTGATTTCCTTAATTCAAATGAATTATTCCAGCCTCAGGAACTCCAAGGAAAGTATGATCAGCCTACACTCAGAAGCAGGGGGTCATGAAGTTAAGCCAGAAAAAAGGCCCATCTGCAGTATTAGCAAGTGCACAGGAACAAAACATTAACTCGGGCCCAAGGAGCTGGAGGTTAGCCCAAGCTGGAGGTAGTTAGACCTCAGGAGAAATCTGCAGGTCAATGTCAGAATGTTCCAGAACTTTCTCTTCAGCTGCTCTTTGTAGATGGTGGTATGGGGTACTCCATGAAGTAAAAATTTTAAAGGGAATTATTTTAGAGCATTGTGTCAAACATGCAATGATTAAATGCCAACTTCTCTTACACTATGGCTACAGCAAGTATATTAAGTGCTCAGTTCAAACCCTGGGTTAAATTCTAGCTCTGCACCTTATCAGCTATGTAACTTTCACCCCAGTTTTCTCATCTTTAAAATGAAGATTACTGGGGGTGTAATCATAATATAGATTGCCTAGCATTGTTGCAAAGATTAAATGAGATAACCTATGTAAAATACACAATACAAAGTCTGGTGCACAGATATACTCAGTAAATATTATTCATTTTTATTTAGGCAATTTATTGTTGAACTGTAATTTTTCAGCACTATTCAAGGATACCTTCTGAGAACTCATGACCTATGAATGTGCTTGGAAAACTTTTTGCTTCTAGTTGATTTCACATTTTTAGCACAAATTCTGAAATATAGTATAGAACTCAACCTACCATGAAGATAGATTACTTTTAATATGTTCATTTTCTGTAAAGTGCAAAAGTAAGATTACTGGGAATGGCTATATGCAAAAGTCTATGCTGTAATTTAAGGATTCTAATCATTTAAACTTAGGGTCATTTTTATCTGCTTTGATAAAAAATAAATCTCATTCCATTTGCCCAGTTTGATTAAGTGACTTAATTTGTTCCCTCCCATACTTTTTCACTCTTAGTAGCTCTCTATGACCAGCTCTTGGGGAGAACCGGGCAATTTTGCCTTGCATTGCTTTATGATTTTTTTTCAACTTGAAACTTTTCCTCAAGATATATTGACATGTACTATTTTAATACAGTGATATAAAGGCAAACCACATTCTGGTGAAGTATTACAATTGAGGAAATTGACAAATGAAGATTTTTACCTTAGAGAGTAGAAGTAATTGGAATAATTGCATGCTTCTTTTCTATGCTGTGATTTTCTTTATTAGATAAAATTACTTCCATTTTACTATGAACTCTCTATCCATTTCAGGAAAGTTTGGAATATTAAACTTTCAGTATGGAGTTTCATGCAGGTTCTTCATATTGTGGGGAAATAATACTTTAAAAATAAGTAGCATATACTTATCTAAATGTATGAAGCTCATTTGTGATTTTAAAAAATACATTTGAATTAAACATGTTTTCTGTTTCTTTCACTATCCCTTTGAAGTCCAGAGTCTAGATAGTGTAGAAGCCAAGGCTTTCTCCAGCCTGTTTTCAATCATGTGAATGCTGCCTCGTGGTGGTAGCATAACCAAATTGCAGGTTCAGTTCCCTGTTTTGTCATTACCCACAACTATGAAAGAAACAGTCTCGTGGCAGCCTCCACTGCATTGCTTGGGGGTCCAGCAAAGATTCCTTATCACTTACAGAAAAGTCATAAGCCATAGCTAAAGATCAGTGAGCCATTTAACCTCTGTGGAGTTTCATCTTCCATCTGCTTCTCTCACATCCAGTTACCGAGTTACAACTCGCAGCTTCCTGAATGTGGAATGTGCTTAGTACTGCTGGTCTTTCTCACTTGGATATGTCCCTTGGGAGGCACTTTTTCTGTCACATCCCGCTGCCAGCTGCCTGAAGAAGGGCCACTCATCTTTGATGGCCCAGCTCATTTCCTCCTGAATACCTCATAGTCTCTTTCTCCAATCTGAGCAGTGGACCTAGCTTCTCTTTTCTCTCATTTCTCGTTGATCTTTATATGTACTTCCGCTTAGCATAGAATGGACTGGAAAGAGTGAAAGGATATTTGTTCGTTCGTTTATTTTTTTTTGTTCTGGGGATTGAACTCAGGACCTTGTGCTTGTGTGACAGGTGGCAGCTCCACTGAGCTAAATCCCAAACCCCTTGCTTGTTTTCTTTTGTGGTAATGGTGATCAAACTCAGGATTTTGCACTTATGAGGCAGGTACAGTACCACTGAGCTAAATTTCTGGCCGAAGAGTGTAAGTTTTAAGGTTGAGAAAATTCCATGTGGAATTCTAAATCCAGATCCCAGATCAGCTTTTTATTAATGTAATATTAATTAGTCATAACACTTATAATCTAAATCTCTCACAATCTGAATATCTTTACTTGAGAAACAGACATTATGCTGGAATATTATTGTGAGAAATAAATGAGAGAATGTAGGTACAGTATCTGGCACAAGTGGCTCTCATAGGAGACACTTAGCAGATACTTATTTCCTTTCTTCATACTCATGGAAGCTCTTAATATTTTTTGTCTCACCCTTTACACTCCAATCTCCTCCTAGGCAAAGACACAATCTTATTTTGCATGTTAACTTGCTTAATTACTGAATTAAATGAATGTCCCTAGTGGACCTTTCAAAGCACATCCTAACTATGTATTCTTAATATGCCAATTGTTAAAAGTTTCTTTCTGATATGTATCAAGTTATCTAAAGGCAATTTGTAAGTCCATGTACATTTTAGTAAAATACATTATTAAAATGAAGAACAGCATGATTAATCATCTAACGATTAATAAGTTAACAGTGGTCTGATAAGTTTGATGCGCGTGGCTCTATAATGGGATTAACACAAAAAGAAATATTATCCATTCTTTATTTTCTTTTTCATGTAAACGTTAGGCATTGGGGACAGATAGCTAGAGTCAGCTGGGATAGTCCTGAATACAGTTAATTCCACGTACTTAAATCCACTTGTGGAAACTGCTGATTCACAAGTCATGAAGCCGAGAGGCCGTCCCAGCTCAGTATGAACCACAGCTCGGAGCTCCGCTTACTTGTACAGTCCCGCAGTGCTTAATGAGAGGGATTTATTCAGAGAAGCATGTTGTTAGGCAGTTTCATCATTGTGTGAACATCATAGAGCCTTCTTACACAAACCTAGCTGATACAGATCAGTCTCCTGATGTGTCTTCTTGAGACACTCAAACGATACAGGAAGAATAAATAAATGTTACGCACAGTATGTAATTTGATTTTTTTTTTTTAGTCCTGGAAGTTAAACCCAGGGCATTGTATAAACTGACAAACTGGGCAAGTGCTCTACCACTGAGCTACTACACCCAAACCCAGCATACTCTTTTATAGTAAACTGTCTCTAAAATACAAAATATTCTCTAAAGGAATGATTAAAATTACAGTGAATATATAAAATCAGTGACATTTATTTTTAATATTATCAAGTATTATGTACTGTGCATCATTTTATATCCTGTACTTTATGTGACTGGTAGGTTTGTTTCTAGCAGCCTCAGCACAAACATTTGAGTAGTGCTTTATGCTGTGAAGTTAAGGCAGCTGTGACCTCACTAGGCAATAAGAATTTTTCAGGTGCGTTGTAATCTTTGGGGATCACTGTTGCATATGTGGCCCATTGTTGACCAAAATTTCATTCTGTGTTTGGGGTGGGGGTGGACTTTACTAAGCTACAACACTACTTTTGTGCGTTAACATCCTGTGGATCTCTCTTTAGATGAGACAGAATATGAGTACAGCGGAAGTGAGGAGGAAGAAGAGGAGAATGATTCCGGGGAGCCCAGGTACGACTGTGAGAGTTGAGCCTTCTAATGTTCACTCTTTAAACTGTGCTCGTGTGAAACTCACTTTCCTTTTGATTTATAGGTTCATTTTAAAGAATCCACCAAGGTGGTCTTATTTAATTTATTTCCCACAAATATACTCATTAATTTGGGAAAATTTCCCCAGGCAGGCTCTTAGGAAAATGTGGAAATCAGCATTTTCTTTTTCTTATCCTCGAGATTTATGTTCTCTTCTCAAGACCATGTTTCCTCGCATATGCAACATGTAAAGTGGATAGGAGGCAACTATTTGGGTAATGCAGGATGAAAAGTACTTAAGGTTGTACCTTTTTGGAGACTTAGATGCTTTTTTTTAGAGTTGAGTTCTTTGGCTCCTTACTTCATACCTTTAAGGAGCCCTTTCACCTACTCTCCTTGTCATGTACCTTGGTATTTTCACTGCAGTCTGGTTCAGGATGAAACCATTTCCAGGAAATCAAGTTACATTTGAAGGAGAACCTGAAACAGAAATTTTGTGCCATTCCTGTTGTCACACATTAGACCCAGGATCAAGTGCTGCTTTACTGTAATCACCCCTGGATTTTAAATTTCACTTAATTTTGATCCCAACTTTCTTCCAATCTGTGTTTATAAATTTTTTTCTCATTGAGTTTATTGGCACTTTTTAGGTATACAGTACAGTTACATTCATCATTGGGATGTTACTTTGCATTGAAATCAGCATTTTCTTTTTCTTATCCTCGAGATTTATGTTCTCTTCTCAAGACCATGTTTCCTCGCATATGCAACATGTAAAGTGGATAGGAGGCAACTATTTGGGTAATGCAGGATGAAAAGTACTTAAGGTTGTACCTTTTTGGAGACTTAGATGCTTTTTTTTAGAGTTGAGTTCTTTGGCTCCTTACTTCATACCTTTAAGGAGCCCTTTCACCTACTCTCCTTGTCATGTACCTTGGTATTTTCACTGCAGTCTGGTTCAGGATGAAACCATTTCCAGGAAATCAAGTTACATTTGAAGGAGAACCTGAAACAGAAATTTTGTGCCATTCCTGTTGTCACACATTAGACCCAGGATCAAGTGCTGCTTTACTGTAATCACCCCTGGATTTTAAATTTCACTTAATTTTGATCCCAACTTTCTTCCAATCTGTGTTTATAAATTTTTTTCTCATTGAGTTTATTGGCACTTTTTAGGTATACAGTACAGTTACATTCATCATTGGGATGTTGTACTTTGCATGTGTTTATAATTAATTAAGGGTGGAGTGCTTCCACTGCCAGGATTTCTCTTTTGTAAGAAAATTCAGCCAGCAGCTGCCTGGTGAGTGAAAAGGCACAGACACACACACGTGAGACCACACGCTATAAATGTGAAGTCAGGTGTATCAGAGGAAACGCACAAGCGCAAGGGTCCTGTGGTATAATGGCTCCTCATCATCCAGCCGCCTGAGGACTGAACCCCAGTGTGGAATGAGAAGGACCATTGCCCGTTGCTGTCCCAGAGCTTCCTGATCAGAGAAGCTGCTGGACTGAACTACACAGCATCTGTTCTCTTCTTAAGCCAACTTAGACCTCCTGAGCTGGGCTCTTGCTAAGCTACCAGAGGGTTGAACTGAACTTATGGGGACATTAGTTTTTCTCTCTTCACTTGTCACAGGATTTCTCAAGGTCAAAGACTAAAGGAAAATTTATTTCTTCTGTCTGATAAGTAGTGTGTTGTCCTCCCCAGCTGCATAAAGATGATGACTGTTAAGCAGTGACATGGAAAATGAACTTTTCTCTATGGCAAAGGGACAACTGTGCTTTTAGAGAAGTTGTGTGCTATTTTTTGAAAGCTCACGCAGATGGCCACGTCAGCACTCTGACCATCCCCAGACAACTGAGAAACCATATCTTTCCAACAGTTTGCTGAACGGGAGCTAGGAGTCACTTAGAGAGCCAACCAAACTGGAACTAGAGAACGCCGCATATCACATAGGAGAATTATACGTCCAGAACTGTTGTAAGGACAAAAAAAAAAATAACTACTCTTCATGAAACCCTACCAAGTAGTCAGGGACAATGGTTATCTCATTTTGGAAACGAGGCAAGAGCACAAGCGTGGTAAGAACTCACACTGAGTTAATAATCGAGTCGCTAATGTGGCTCAGGTCTCCTGAAATTGATTCAACATCAAGTAGTATTAATGGGGGGGGGTCCTGGTGTGCATTCAAGGCTATGTTCCCCAGCCCCTCACCCAGCTGTTGAGACAAAACCTGCAAGTCATCTTTTGTGACACAGTCCAGCTCTGCACGGGCTTCACTGACTCTGCCTCTAAAAGCTTCTTCCAGCCTCCATCCCCGCTGTGCCCGTCCTGGTTAAGATCTCTACTCAGTGCCATTGCAGTGGTCTCCTGACTGTCAGCGCTGCCTGTTCTCACCCCTTGCAGACTGTGGTCCACTCTGCAGACAAACAGACGGGCTCATGTGCTCCTCCCTGGGAGTCTTTCCCACCCACTAGTCCCCCTGACCTCTGCTTAGGCCCCGTACCCTCCCATTGCCTCTGCTCTGGGAGGACAGCTCTCTGGCAAGGGCCATGCCTGTTCGAAAATCCTCTAAGCAGGATGAATGACTGTGCTGGATGCTTTTCCTCCTGCCCAGAGCATCCTTCCCCTCATCAATTCCCACCTTCCCACAGAGGCCCTCCTGCCCTCCCAGTCAAAGAAGAACTTTTAATTCTCACCTCAGCTCCCTGCCGTTGTTGCTTTTGAAACTTTACCCTGTTAGCTTTATGTAAGGCATATTAATATGAAAATCTTATTATTTGTAGTTATCCTTCTTTCCTACAATAAAGTAACTCTAGAGTAAGAATTTTTACTTGGTTGCAGCGGTACTCTATAGCCTGTCACATAGCAGATGCCACTAAATTTATACTCGATGAATTTATTTTAGAGGGATGGTTCCAGAAAGATTCAAGCAGCTGGGTTTGAATAATCCTCCCTGTTACACAGCTATTTAGAGCCAAGAAGTCTATCACTTTTAGTTGGTCTACAGTTAGATTAGTGCAGGGCAGTCCTAGACTACCTGGAAAGGTGTTCTCTCTTTCACACACACAGACACACATACACAACCATTTAAACATGAGGAAACTTCTGCTTAAAAAAGAACCTAGGGATCAATGAGCTAAGTTGCAGTGCCAGCCACGGGCTCTGGCAGGAGCTAGTCCATTACCTGTGGTGCACTGAAACAAGCGCTGGTCTCTTTGGACTTAGCCAACTTGGTTCTGCATCAGCCTTGGCTCCAGCTTTTCCTCCCTGGCTGAAGGGTCTGCGCATAACAGCCTGATCTCTCCCTGAGTGTGGTGTGAGCAGTCAAGGATGGATGCATGCAAGGCTGGTCTGTGCTGGGCTGAGTAAACCTGGCCCCTGACTGATTCCCAGTGCTCATTTTTCTTTGCTTGCCATTCTGACCTATGAAGATAAGCTGGCTTGGGGAACTCACTAAAGTCTTAAGAAAAAAATCTTTGCCTTACACAAGGGTGAGGGAGTGCTGTTGCTTGTCCTGGAGGAAGGGATGACTCTGGAGATGTGACGCCCTCCGGGGTAGAGACAGCATATGCCACAGTCATACCGAAGGGGATTTTGAACACCCACCTTTTCCCTGACCCCTTTAACAAGAAATCTAGGAACCACGTGTGGACTCACAGTAGCCATGGCCTCTCCGCTGTGCTGGATGCTAGTCACTCTTTTCTACCCACAGCTCCATCCTGAACCTGCCTGGGGAGTCCACCCTGCGGCGGGACTTCCTGAGACTCCAGCTGGCCAACAAGGAGCGTTCAGAGGCCCTGCGAAGGCAGCAGCTGGAGCAGCAACAGCGAGAAAATGAGGAGCACAAGAGGCAGCTGCTGGCTGAGCGCCAGAAGCGAATCGAGGAGCAGAAGGAGCAGCGGCGGCGGCTGGAGGAGGTAAGGGCCTCACAGGCCACCCTGCCCGACCTCCCTGCCTGGTCACTCCCTGGGCATCCATGGGAGGCTGAGGTTGTATCTTCCAGGTCAAGGCCCCCCCCTGCCTGGCACTCCCACACTTTGGCTGCAAAGCAAGACGAGGCCTGAATGCTCTTACCCATAAGACTTCCCTCAGTTTTTATGATGCCAAGGTCATTGCAGAATTGCAACCAAAGACCTCACCCCTTCAAGTCTGACTCACAGATGACTTTCTCAGTGAAGCCTTCTCTGACAACATTACTTAGGATTGCATCCCTCACTCTTCCTCTACCTTATTCTGTTGCCCTTCCCTGCTTTATTACTTTTACATAGCTCCGGCCACCTTCAAAAATATTGCCTTTGTCTCCCCACTAGAATACAAGCTCCATGAGGACACAAGATTTTCTTTCTTATTACTTGGCATATCACTGGCACCTAGCATAATATCTAGCACATAGTAGGTGGCCCGTAAATATTTGTGGATGGTTAAGTTAATATTTGAATGACTGAGTCAGTAGCTGAGAGGTGAAGTACAGGTGTTAATGTGACCACAGTGAATAGGCAGGTAAGCAAAATGCTACGTATAGAAAATCAGGGCCTATGTATTGACGCTCCTCTGAGCACTGCGCATAGCCTTCTTTCTCAAGTTCTTCCACACTCACCCTTTGTACCCATGGCCATCCTCCAGCTGGTGGGCAAGACCAGCCTTCAGCAGCAGATACTGCTGACATCTGTGTGGTCTTACAGACATTTGCTCAAGCCTTTTTCCCAGCCTCCATACTCAGCCAGATAAATCAAAGCCTCTGGACAATTAGGAAACGGACCATGCTTAGCTATTGGAAAATTGGGCGGCAAATGCACGGTTCACTAACTGCTCAGTAATGGGGTAGTAATTTCACTGGTCTCCCAAACACCAGCTTGCTCTTCATTTAATGGGTTTATAGCAATTCCCGTGCTTTGTCAGGTGGCCACTAAGGGTTAGAGGGTGGTGAATTGCACACACCAGGAACAGATTGCTTTTTAAATGATACATCAAGGTCCAGCCTCCCTCGTTGAAATCAGTGAGGGCTTCAGTTCTACTTTGCAATAAATCCCATCAACCTGTTATGTTCCTGGAATATTAGCTTCAGAGCAGCAACAATAATAGCAGACAACTGCAATCATTGAGTGATTATTGAGTGGTGTCTGTGTGCCAACTATCAGGCAGGGTGCTTTGCTTGTATTCAGTATGAAATACTGAATACCGGGTCATTATCCCAGGTACATCCATGTTTCTCATGCAAAGAGTATGTAGTCTCCACGTAACACATGGGAAACTGAGGTCAGGGAGAGGTAATTAGTCCCATGTCACAGGACTGGTAAAGTACAAAGTGAGGATTTACATCCTGTATCCACTGACCCTGATGTTCATGCAGGTCTTTCCTGAGACAGTAAGTATAGGGACACAATCAAAGCCCTGAACTGTGATCCTCAGAATTGGACCTTGAGGCTTCTCCAAGAAGCAATAGCAAGTATAGCACTTTCCAGTCTAGGCTTGTAATATTGTTGGTGTAAAGGATGCTCAGCACATGAAAAGTTCGAAGTCCACCTGCTATCTTATGTTCTAAGATATACCGTGTCATAGACAGAGACACTGTGGTGTGTAGGGCATAAACAATCTGAGAAGCAGGCAAAGGCAGGGTGTGAGGTCTGTCCTGGTAGGTAGGTCTCAGAGTGGTGTACAAAGTACAGAAATGGGAGGCATCCCAGGACCTCAGGTTAACTCCCAGGCTTGCACTGTGCCCTGGTGTTACCTTCTCCTCCCCACACAGGCACACTGTGGCCTTTTATACAGGGCCAAACAGTCTGGAGCTGCACCCTCTCCTTCAGGCTGTCAGGTCTCCCCAGGACCATGGAGCCCACTCCTTCAAATTGCCGATCGAACCCCTCTAAGGGGCTGCCCCAGACCTCTGCCTTTCCTGCTTCTCTCCTGGGGACAGTTCCTTCCCTCTCGGGCCCCCCACTCACTGGAGCATCATAGCCTGGAAGCTTTTTCCCTGTCTGGATGTTCATTTGTTACAGAGTCTCTGATTGAAGACAATTACCATTTAACTCTAGAAAATCCCCACGGTCATCCATAAAACACTTAAAATTCTCCAGAATGCATACTTGCGTGTATACACACATGCAGTAGTGTGCATTTTTTTTTAACACACAAACTGTTGGCCCTTAGACCTAGATCCACTTCACAGTCTTTTCAGGTGGTGCCTTGTTTTGCTCTGCTTTGATTTTTAGGATTTCCTTCTGCTCACACCTAGGATGATTACTTGAGTTCATCAAGTTACTAGAATGATTTCTTATGATTATGAAGCATTGACCATGACAGGTACTACATTTAACATGCTACATAAATCATCTTACTTAATCCTCACAGTTATTCCCAGTCTAAAGACAATGCAGCTGAGAGGTCCATAGCTTGCTAAGGTCACACAGCTGTAGATGAAATTTCTGCTGATGAACCACAGCCTGTATGCTCTTCTGTATTCTTCATCTACCCTGCACCTGTGTGGCCTGTTGCCCTGAACATTTAAAGGTTTCTGTACAAGGCAAAGAAGCTGTGCCCTATAGGAGCTCAGCTTTGAGCCAGGATCGGTTTCTCGTGCTCATGGTCAGAGCAACTGTGAGACCTGGCTCCTGGAGCTTCCATCATGGATGCAAGTCAGAGTGCAGCTTGGTGATGTGTGGGTGTTCACAGAGACACTTTGTAAGTCCGGGCTTGCCGGAGGATGTGAACCCTCTGCTCAGTGTGACAGTGGGTGTGAACCCTGGCCTCTCAGCAGAAGCAGGAATGCTGGACATTATAGCAACCAGTTACACCAGCTTTATCTCTAGATCCATTGTCTTGCTCTAGAACTCAATAGAGAAGGGGAAAAAATACTAAATACACAGATGGTAAATTCTAAACCCCTAAGTAACAGCAGTCTTGACCACCAAAAATTCTTCTCCTGTGCCCTGCTTCTGCCAGACCCCAGCCATGTCTGCCACCCAGCCTCTGGATAGTGACCACTCATGTTTCTGGTGCCCTAGTGAGACTGTGGGTTGCATGAGCACCTAGAAATAGTTATAACCTTAGTTCAGCCTGAAAATTGAGCTTCCTTGAGAGTCAGATGGACTTTTGTAGGCATCCTGGCAAATACATTCCTACTTCCAGTTAAAGGCCTCCCCAGGGACCCTTTGGTAGCACAGGACTGTGTAGGTTGAAGCCTTTGTATTTGGTGATAGCGGATGTCACCTCCCACTGGAGGGTTTCTAAGGGAGCCCTGTGTATCTTTTGCTATTTATGGGTAACCACGTGGATTTGGCTGGGTTCTAATCAGTGTGTGCGATTCTTAGAGGACTTTAACTATACTCTGAACATAGTCATTTATCAGCTGTATGATAAGCACGTGGGTTCTTGGTAGGGACTTGGCTCAGGTTTTGATGAGTGATAAAAGTACAATTTATAACTAAGTTCCAAGAACACGATGAAACTCAGCAAAGGGAAGGACATCAATAGTGAGAAAAGTACCCAGAGAACTTCTTCTGCTTTCTGTTTCTTTGCTTCTACATATACAACTGGTTTCATTTCTGCATCACAGTGTCACCAAGCAAAGATGGGCCCCCTGGAGGTGTTGTGACTCCTACTCTTTTCATCTGTCTCATTTTGAACAGATTCCTGGTAATGTTTTATTCTGCTCAAGAGTTTTGCAGTGATATTAGTGATTTATATATTTGTCTTAACTTGCTGAGAGCATTCTGTACCTTCATTTAGGGAGCAATATCTTGAAGGTATAGGAATGGAGCAAACTGATCTCAGGAGCAACAACCAGCCTGCTTCATAATAGTAAACTTTATTTTTCAGAGAATTGGGCTAAATTTTTCTAACCAAGGTCCCTTTCAGTGTCCTTCAAGATTATTATAATATTGTTTAGTTATAAAAACAAGTTCTATCTTTAAAAATAAACAACGTACTGGTTTTGTTCCATTGCCTGAAAAAATTTTAAAAGAAATACTGCCTATATCTTATTAGCCATGAACAATGGAGCATAATTGTAGAAAACAGAGTTTGGTAACCTAAAATAATCTGAATTCTCTATAAGCCTATAGTGATTAACTATGAACGACTTGGACTTTTAAGGGCACTGGGCTCATTGTTTTTTAAGAGTGTATGGTAGAATAAAGCTGATGTCTTCCTATGCCTGTAAGCAGTCATTCAACAAATATTTAATGAACACCTCTACTGTAAAGGCATATGCTGGACATTAAAAGTGCAGTCTGCTGTCATAAAGAGTAGGCCTGTGAGGGAGACAGGCATTGAGCAGAGAGTCACTGAATGGTCATTTCTTTCTTTGTGGCAGCTGCAGTATTAGAGGAGAAATGCATGTTAAGGGACATGAGCCAGACCTGGCTTGGAGACCAGCAGGCCAGAGTCCAACTAAAGAAAGGGAGTGGAACCTTGGAGATACAAGGTATATCTACTGAGCCCTGTAGGCCAAATTGATTACCTTTGAATTTTGTTATAAGAGCAGGAAACCACTCAACCAAGGAAAATAATATGATCTGCCTTTATAAAATTAAGCTTTGATTGCTTCAAGGAATGTGATTAGAAGGAAGCATGAGTGGATGAGAAGCCAGGCCAGTCCAGGCCAGAAGGATGCTACTTCAGGTGGACGGTGTGAAGTGGAGCACGGCAGAGCTCTGGCCTTTGGAACCTGCAAGATGTGGTAGACGATTAAACCTCAGAGATGAGTAACAGCAAGTTGGAACGGAAGGTTCCCCAATGTCAGGCCTAAGCATATGGATGAGAAGAGAAGGATAATATCAACTCAGATATAATGAGACTAAGATGCATGTGATGCCACTAAAAGTCGTGCCAAGGATGGTGTTGGATGGTGTAGGTACAGCTATTAAAGGGGTGTGGTGGGAAATGGAAATTACTGGCTCATACTAATGGAAATATTTGA